GCTCCAGCAAAGTATTTTCGGGGAAATGTACTTTTGAAATATGGAACATATGCTATTTTTAAATTAAAGTTTTAGCCATATGCTCCAGCAGATCGACGTATGTTAATATCGCCGCAGTTGTTTTTGCTCTTCTCGTATCTAAAATAGTTGGATATTGCTTCGAAATCGTCGTTATCTGATATACCTTTCATAACAACAATGAAAAATGTTTGAGTGTCTTATAACTTTGATTAACTTTACTACTGTAATTGAAGTTGTGTATATTATGATAATTACCAAATGGTTTATGCTTTACTTGGAGCATTGCAATTTTGGGGAGTGACTTTATGAGATGGCTGTATTTTTTGAGTTTCTTAGTCAAGCTGATGCAGCAGGGAGGCTGACTTCAAAAAATGGAAAGTAAAGTTGAACAGTATGAAACGACAGATAATGCAGTACTAAATGTGACTATGCTACTGTTTTGTATGAGTAGTGTAAAAAGTGTGCATTAATATTTTTTGATTTATTTTTTATGGAGAGTTCTTTTGTGTATATATGAAATAAAATGATTTGAAGTTAATGCATTTTTGTATATGAAACTGAAGATTTATGCTTAGAAGGGTTATCAATCCCATAAGCTTTGTTGGGTTTTTGGTTTTGGTTCAAGTCGTTAAAATCCTATTTTATTTAAACATGACCTAGTTTCTTTTTTTAATGACTCCCTTCGGTACACTATTGGAGGATGAAGACGGCAAATAAATTTGCTTGGGAATTAAGCTCTAAAAACAGATTTTAACTGGCGGTAGAATCAGATTTTCGGTGACTTGCTTCCAGAGAGCAATGTATTTTTTTTAGCCGGCAAGAAACCTAATAAGTGGTGCAGTTTCTTTTTCAGCATCTATGAAAGTCGATGTCCGCAGTAAATGTTCAGGATATTTGGCAGAAGATAGTGCAACTTCAGCAGAAACCTCGTCAGGGTCATACCGAGTACGCCTATCGTCTACCACTTATAAAAGTATTTATTCATTTCCAGATATTATTTGGGTGTTTCGCTCAGAGGTATTTGAGTGGTTGGTTATTTACGCTTTGGATTAAATATGGCGCAAAATCAAGAAGATAATTATATCAAGTGTTCCGCTCTTTCTGTTCCAACGAGTATTTTTTGAAGCTGTTGGAACAACTTTTCCTCTCCGATTTGGAATACGCATATGAGAAAAAGGCCGACTGTCTGTTTTTTACCATTCAAAAAGAGTCGTTGGAGTTCTTGAAAAAGCAGTTTGATAAGAAATTGCCTTATAGTTCGGTTGAAAGAGTTGTAAGTTTCTTATTTGATAAAACTTTGACATTTTGAGAAACTTGTAGTTGATATTTAATCCTTCGCTTCATTATTTTGCTTCAGAAACGCGACTAGTTCTAAATATTTATTAAATTGTATGGTGGCGGTTTTTACATGTTTTTGCAGAACTACGTAAATGCTTTGAATCAGTGCTTCTGTGAACTGGTTGAACTGGCTCTCCTTACTCAAGAAAAATATGGTGGTGCTTTGTATTTTGATGCTTTTTTATTTTTCATATATGAGGAATTTGTCATTTTCATTATATGTTTGGGGTAGGATAAAGTGAAAACAGCTATAAACTGGACTACTAATTCTTTCTTTAGGCTTTGTTATCGACGATGTACCGTTGCCATTTATTGTAATTTCTGACATGTTAGCTGTGAGGAATGCCAACTGTAATTTAAGCGATTCACTGCGTAACAAGTTTATTAACTTCATTTGTTTGAGGTTGGGTGACATATTACGTTATTTAGTAAGTTTTGAAAATGTTTTTATGCGTTTCATGTATTTCATGATGCTGCTTGTGTAAACTAAACGACAAGTGGAAAATTTTTGCAGATTGATTATGAAACCTCCAAAATTTTTTACGAGAGAGCAATCAAGGCTGCGCCGACTGATGGACAAGCATATAATCAGGCATTCAATATTTAATTGGCTTTTAAACTTAAATCACCCTCCTTTTAATTTAACTTCAATCGTATTTTCAGTTAGGTCTGATCGAATCGGCTCGGCACAATTCATTAGACGCACTTTTCTGGCATATCTGTGCAGTTAATGTGAAAGAACCATTTGCTCCGGCATCCGCAAATATTGAGTCTCTGTACAGACGGTTTTTCTCTGTTAATATGGGTAAAAAAACATGGAATTGTTTCTGTCGTTTTGATTTTTTTTATTTGCTTTGTACAATTTATCGTTTGACTTCTTTGAACATTATTCGCAAATGTCGCAGTTAGTTGCTGGTAGCGGAGAAGTACACTGAATTGAATATTTTTCGTCTGAGATTCACCGAACTACTGGCCAGATTTTCTTTTTATTGGCTTTTGCTGCAAGTAGCGTAGAACATTTCAGATGATAAGCGAGTTCGTTCCGACGCTTTATTTATCAGTTTTGCTGGTTCTTGCCACAGCGTAATGTCTTATATATTTTTAAATGACTAAATTTGCTTAGATTTGTTATCTGTAACGCTTCAGTTTTTAAGTTGGGAATGGAATATTTTTTTAGCTTCTAGAAACTAGTGATCAGTTTATTTTGCGTCTTTCGGAGCTGGTTCGTTCAGAAGAAGTCAATTTACTTCGCTCAAAGATACATTTTGCCATTCTTGTCTCGATTTGGAGCACCATGATTAACTCAGCTGATGAACTTAGATGTGCTGACTGTATCATTACAGTCATTACTGATTTGTTTTTATACGTCCTTGAAGGTTACTCAAAAGTAAGTCTTGCTTCCATGTGTTAATTTATTCATTTACATTTTTTTAAAAAACTATCGTTTATTATGTGTTCGGTTCAAGCAAATTTTTTTATACATATAA